TGATGCAATTTGAGGTGAATTCGTGCACACCTGTGTCGCTACTCGAAAAATGCGTCGCGCAACGACGGGGAGACGAAAAAAGATGGACAGAAGAGTCGCCACCGAACTTTATTTATCCCATGGGGGGAAAGGAAAATATCGAGAAAACCTTAAGAAACGAACGGATAAGATGGTCTCGCAACCATGAACGGGTTCGGAAGCCGGTTATGCGAGGGGAAGGTATTAGCACCCCTCGCATCCATCGTACTCGATGGGAACCTTTTGTTTGTCGATGTGTGATTATATTTGCTTAAACATCATGCTATAAGAAGTGTTCCACAGGGTAAAAGAAGGGTTAGAAACAGGAAAGTTAGGAGGAAAGAGAGAACAGGGAAAAAGAGAAAGAACAGACTCGGTAGGACTTCGCAGTCCTAGGCCTACGTATTCTCAACAAGTATGAGAAAGTCAGAGTCGACGTAGTTCGGGAAACTACGGGTGATAGGGGGGATGTGCTCGCCAAGACATCGCCGTCTTGTGCCTACGTATTCTCATCTGGTATGAGAAATCAGAGCAGCCGTAGTTCGGCCTACGGTTTGTTGATGTTTTTTATGGATGACGCTATCGTGCGCATTCTAGCAGTTAGGTGTTTCGCTGCTCGCTCGTTGGAGACTTAGGCGTTACCTGTTTGCGGTAGAACGGACGTAACATATCCTTTTTTGAAATGATTGATTAGTTTTCGCCACGCGAGGCAAGAAGTCACGTTTGATTGATTGGATCGTTTTTTAGGGGGCGAGACAGGTCCTCGGATAGTAACCCCTACGGGTAGTACCCAATTCGTTACCTCAAAGTTTTTGTTATGAAAAGGTGTGGCGAACGAGGCGTCTTCGTATTGAAAGACGAACGTCGAAACCACCCTCACTACAGTGGGCATCCCAACACTCGAAGAGGAAGAGGTCTACACCTAATCCTCTCTCTTTAATTCAACATAAAGAGAGCTTCGTTCTCTTATTAAAGTGTTTTTGGTTTTGAATGGTAAGTGCTTTGCGACAGAGAACCCTACGGTAAACGTCAGCACTCGGGATAGGAGAAGGCCTACGCCTAACCACTCCACGACCATTCAAGTTTTTGTTATGAAAAGATTTGAAAATGCACTCGGTACAGGACCGAGGTTTTAGGTGTGAAAGTTATGGAAGGAAGTTGTGAAAGCGAGATGGTGGATAAAGTCGCGTCTTCATATCGAAAGACGAGTGTCGAGGCCACCCTCACTACAGTGGGCATCCCATCACTCGGAGAAGAAGAGGTCTACACCCAATCTTCTCTCTTTAATTCGATACAAAGAGAAATCAATTTATTACTGAAAATAAACTTAGTACGAGGCCGAGGTTTTATGAGGAAACGTTGGAAGCGTCTTTGTATTGACAGACGAGCGTTGAGACCACCCTCACTACAGTGGGCATCCCAACACTCGGAGAGGAAGAAAATCTACACTTAATCCCCTCTTTTTAACTCAATACGAAGATGATTTGATTTTGAAAATTGTTTGACAAAGTTTTTGAATCGAGTCGGGACAAGTAATGAAGAGAAAAGAGGTGGTCTCAGATCCAACATTACCTATCAATAATTTGACTGGTAATGAATTACGGAGGTCTCGTCACCGACCCAAAAGAGAAATGGGACCAAATGCCCAATAACAGATGCGAAATGAAATTTAAGTTCAAAAGAAAATAAGAATATTCTAAAACTCTAATATTAATCTAAACAGAATAATAACATATCTACATAATTTGAAACTAACAAAACATTTTACAAATTTAAGCATTATTTTACAAAATATATTAACACAGTATTGACCAGAAATAACATATCAATCCTAATAAAGATATCAACAATAAAATTCAATGTAATAAAAAAAATATATATATAAAAAAGAAACCGAGATTAAAACAGTAAAAGTAATGTAGAAAATTCTCAACAGTAAAAATAAGGATAATAATTTAAAAAAAACAAAATACCAGATAAAAACTAAATCGAACAAAAAAGGGGTCCTCTCTCTTCGTATCTTTTCTTTCACCGTCCCTTCGCTCTCTGTATCGATCTCATCTCTTCATTTTCTCTGTCTCCACTTATTCACTTTCTTTACTACCTTCAACAAACATCAATAACAACAACGTATAAACTAAATCAAACTCCTCTGTTAATCGCCGTATGGGTTCGTGAATCACGAAACACCTTCATCTCATTTATTTCTGTTTTCGTTTGGTTTTGTGGTTGTGTGTGGGTTTTATGGTCGTGATTTTGAGGAGGGATTTGAAGTAGGTGAGTTTCAGATTGGGGATTAGGTTGAGTTTTTTTGAAGTCGGCTCTTCGGTGGAAGTTAGGGATTTGGTGTACTTTCGGTAATCTGGAGGTGTACTCGGTTGAAAAAATCAAATTCACGGGTCAAGGGTTTTGAGGAACAGGGAAAATCTGGTTTCTGAACGGTTGTGAGGGATAAAGATGTCGAGGGTTGAATTTGTTGTGTGGCTGTTGAGGTGAGGTTAAAAAAAAACTTGAGTTGGTTGAAGAAGATGGAATTCTTCTGGGTTTTCACGGTGGTTTCAAGTGGTGGAAGTGGTGAGTGTTTATGGCAGAAACATAGTGGCATCACCTTGTTTGTGTTTAAGGTCGATTGAAGGTCGTTGAAGGCATCACATGGTGGAAGAGGAAGAGTAAGGTTTGGTCTTCTTATTTGGAAGTTTGTTGTCGTTCTTGAGGAAGGAAAAAAACGAGTTTAACTATTATGGTGAATATGAAGAAGGATGGACCAGAAAAGTTCCTTTGTGGTTTTTTGGAGAGAGGGAAGAGTAGTGTGTGTGTGACTAACAAGGAAAAATTTGTGCTGAGTTATGTAGAATCGTTTTCTCCTCTTTTCTTTTGTGTGTCATTTTCAAGTGCAGGATTTCTATTTCATGGCAGGTTGTTGTCTGGTGTGGAGGTTTATTGCAGCAGGCTGGTATGTAACAGGTCTTGTTTGGCATGGCAGGCTTTGGTTTATGTGTTGGCTGCTGTTCGCAGGTTTTGTCTGGCGGTACGGTTCTGATCACATGTTGGTTCGGTGGGGTCTGCAGGTTTTGGCAAATGTTTGTTTGGCTGGGAAGCAGCATCAGAGGGCTATTTGGGAAGTGTTGTTTCCATTTAGTTTTCTGTCTCTTGCAAGACATGGAACCAAAGAGGTTTGTGATCCATTGTGTATGGTGATTTATGCATGCTGTGATGGAAATCCTGAATGGCTTCAAGAGCTTTATAGTGACTGTGGTTGGCCTATAGTGACAGAACTAGTGAGAACTGCTTCTTCTGTTTAGTGTTGCATTCGTTTCAATTCAAAGTCTATTCCTTATAGCCAACAAACACTTGTATGGATTGCTGGTGCTCATGTCAAATCTAACAGGAAAATGGTATGTTGTTTCGGCTGCTCTTCACCACGATGGAAATCTTATTCTTATAGACACGGCACAAAAAATGATTTGGCTAAGTTTTGATACTCCTTCTGATACACTACTCCCAGGACAGAGCTTATCTGTTTACAAAACACTTTCGTGCTTCAACCAAGGACCCGGAGACTAGTTACTATAGTCTCTACTTAATGCTTCTGGTTGGTTGCAGCGTTGGCTTTGTAATGGAGGCTTTGTCTCACAGACGAGCTGAGGTTACCGACATGGGTCCTGTCGCGGGAGCTATTGGTCGAACTAGATTGTCCTTGACTTGTCCATCAAGGGGCCTGGTTGGTTACAAGAGTGTGTTTAGCAGTGAGACACATGGAACTGGGTTCATGCACCGTGCTTTCCTCAGTGTCAGTGGGTTATGGTCCATTCACAGCTCATGCATTAATGAGCTTAGAAGCTCGTGGGACTCTTTTGTATCTCCTGGAATGGAGGTTTCAATGATGGGGAAGGACTTTTATTTTGGGCGGATTTTGATTGGACGTGTGTATTCTGGAGTTGTTCGTGTTGGTGACAGGGTTCACGGACTACGTAACAAAGATTCTGGTGCTGAAAAGATTGAAGATGGAAAGGTGGTGAAACTGATGAAAAAGAAAGGTACAACCATGGTTGTAATGGACAGTGCTGGAGCTGGTGATATAATTTCAATTGCTGGTTTGTCAAGTCCATCTATCGGCCATACAGTCACTAGTGTGGAGATAACTTCAAAGTTCAAACAAGAGTGCCAAACTATAATGATGTCAAACTTGGCTCTTAAATACCGAAGTTAATGTAGGGCAATCAAAGAGTAGTCCTCTTGTCTTGATTATGTCTGCATTACCCACACTTGAATTGGATCCACCAACAATTTCTATGACCTTTGGTGTAAACGACTCCCCATTAGCTGGCCGTGATGGTACTCATTTGACTGGTGGAAGAATTGGTGATCGATTAACGGCTGAAGCTGAAACCAACCTTGCCATAAATGTGCTTCCCGGCTTGTCAGAAACGTTTGAAGTTTAAGGAAGAGGAGAACTACAGCTGGGTATTTTAATTGAGAATATGAGGCGTGAGGGATTTGAGCTATCTGTCTCTCCACTTTGTAATCATATTCTTTTATGAACAGAGCTTTGCATTGCAGACTGTTGTGGCCTTGTGGGCTTGTAGCAGTATTCCCTGCATGGAGTTTTTCAACTCGGCTCATTGAAGGTATTTGCAGGGAATGAAAAACATCAGGTTTTGCTTCACGAAATTGGTTTCCTGCCGATATATAATCAAATTCCGAAGGAAAAATGCAGATTTGTAGTTGTGTTATTTATATGATTCAAAAAAACAGATAAGCAATTGTAAAAAGTGTATGCATTTTATTATGGCAATTGAAAGGTGAACAAAACCAGTGTTATTCGCCCCTTATAGATGCATACAAATTTAGATTAAGATCAGGAAAATAAGGCCATACTTTATTGTTTTATTATCGGAACTGAAGCTCTTCACTACACTACATTCAAAATTTATTATTTAAGATAAGATGGCCATCTTATTATTGCACTCCATAGCATGTTCTCAATGAGATTGAGATTCAGACTGAGGGTGAACCAGAGGGCTACGATTTCCACTGCGCTTTAACTCGGTGAATTGGCGTTGACGAAGACCAAAAGAATTTGCAAGAACCTCTTCGGGAGTGGCTCTAAACACCTGTTGTACGTGGCTAACAGCAGCTCTGTCGTTTGTCTTGAACACCACATACTCTAATCCTTCTTCCTCCCCAGCTTGTTCCGCCACCACAAAGTTTTGTGGTACCACCACCAACTGTCCCTTTCTCACCTTGTTGTCAAACACCGCGTCTCCTTGGCAGTTCACAATCCTAACTCTTCCTTCTCCTCTAATCACGTACAGCAGACTGTTTGCGTCAATGTTCCAATGTGGAGCATATATACCATTCCGGTAGAGACGAACATATTGAGCACTGAGGCGTAAATAGCGGAGGACTGGGAGAGTTAAACTGTTTGCAGTGCTGATACGACCAGCACGTGGGTTATAGAGGTCGGCACGTGCAGGGTCAGCAATGTTCTCTCGAATTTTGGCACTACAGATAGTTTCTTCCAAACCATTCTTTCTCCGCTCACTTCTTTGTTTCTCCTGTTTGTGCATATCCTGCTAGCATTGCCGACCATGCCATTAAGTCCTTCACTTCAATTTTCTCAAAAAACTTTCACAGCATCATTAATATTTCCTATCTTAACATACGCATCTAAAAGTGCAGTCCCTACTGATGATGACTTTTCATAATTTAGTTTTGATAACTACAACATGCATTTCAGAAACGAAAACAGCTTGCTGCACAGCAAGGATGGCAGAATACGTAAAATGATTTGGTTTGAATAATATAAATGGTGATGAGATTGTAGAATTTGTGAAGTTTCTGGTATAAAATGTAATGGACTTTGAAACCAGTTTTACACCTCCCTCATAAACAAAACTTGGAAATCGCCATAAGATCATGATAACCAAACTCAAAGTTCTTGACTTAAAATGATGAAAACTTGACATCCCGCGAGAACCAAACAAAATTATTGACTTGAAACAATTTCCACTTGAGTTAACCTTGAGAAGTAGAATTGACCTTGAATTATCCTAAATTGGGAACGGATTAGAGCCTTGAATTAATAAATCAGTCTGGATTTGACCATTTGAATATCAACAAACCAAAGTCTCTAATATAAAAACTCCCTGAGCCAAAACATGTCTTAAAATCAGAGAACCATGATTAAACTTTAATTGAAGAATAAACTTGATCCTGTTGATTATTGACAACGAAACACTTGATTAACCACAGTCCTGACAACTGACCCACATACAGATGATTTGGGGTACAGAAACCCTGATTGAAAACTCATGAAACAATCTCTTGACTGACTAACCAAAAAAAAAAAAAAAAAAAAAACCACTGAATAATACTCATCACTTGCCCGAGTCACCTTACACAACCTTGAACCACAAGCAAAGATAGCCTTCTCCTTTTTCCTAGATATAGTTAGTGAATGGATGCACAGGTGAAGGTATATATTGGTAGGACAAATTTGGGGTATGCTTATGCAACGCAATGCTTACGTATGTGCTGATGCAATGAAGTAAAACACAAGCCAGAGAGGTCGGTCAAATTTTGGGGTACAACAGCTGCCCCTATTCAAACGACTTAGACCTGAAGGGATGAAAGGTAAGCGACTTTCATACATTCAAGGTAAAAGACGGTTGAATACCCAAGGACCCGGAAATTTGACAACCGCGATACGAACTTCTGACATCGCCGCCAGGCAAAATCCATATTAAGTAGAACGTCTGACCTCGCCGTCAGATCTCAACGTCAAAATTATAAATCGACTGACTTTATCGTCGGTCTTCAATATTTTCTGACTTCGCCGTCAATTCTCAAAACAATCTTCTGACTTCGCCGTCAATTCTTAAAATAATCGGTAAAAGCATCTAACCTCACGGTCAGGCCTCGACATTAAGTCGGTAAAAAGATCTGACCTCGCCGTCAGTCCTCTGTTAAATACAAACAGATATCGAATCCAAAGATACGATCCTCCGACACCGTCGTCAAGACAAAATCCAACATCGCCGTCGGAAGAACCAAATTACCTGACATTGCCGCCAAGAACAAACATCTAGCATTGCTGCTAAAGAATCAAATCCTTTTGACATCGCCGTCAAAATAAACTTTCAGCATCGCCGCCGAAAAACTGAATCATATGATATCGCCGTCAGAATTAACTTCTCAACATCGCCGTTGAACAAACAAATCACTCCGACATCGCCGTCAAAACAAACTTTTCAACATCGCCGTTGAACAAACAAATCATTCTGACATCGCCGCCAGAAACAAACTTTTCAACATCACCGTTGAACAAACAAATCCTTTTGACATCGCCGTCAGAACAAACTTTCAACATCACCGTTGAATAAACAAATTATTCCGATACCGCCGCCGAAAACAAACATCTCAACATCGCCGTTGAAGAATATAAATACTTGACATCGCCGTCAAAACAGACTTCTCAACATCGCCGTTGAAGAATACTAAATCATCTAACATCGCCGTCAGAACAAACTTCTCAACATCGCCGTTGAAGAATATAAATACTTGACATCGCCGTTAAAACAGACTTCTCAACATCGCCGTTGAACAAACAAATCATTCCGACATCGCCGTCAAAACAAACTTTTCAACATCGCCGTTGAACAAACAAATCATTCTGACATCGCCGCCAGAAACAAACTTTTCAACATCGCCGTTGAACAAACAAATCCTTTTGACATCGCCGTCAGAACAAACTTTCAACATCGCCGTTGAATAAACAAATTATTCCGATACCGCCGCCGGAAACAAACATCTCAACATCGCCGTTGAAGAATATAAATACTTGACATCGCCGTCAAAACATACTTCTCAACATCGCCGTTGAAGAATACTAAATCATCTAACATCGCCGTCAGAACAAACTTCTCAACATCGCCGTTGAAGAATATAAATACTTGACATCGCCGTCAAAACAGACTTCTCAACATCGCCGTTGAAGAATACTAAATCATCTAACATCGCCGTCAGAACAAACTCCTCAACATCGCCGTTGAAGAATATAAATACTTGACATCGCCATCAAAACAGACTTCTCAACATCGCCGTTGAAACACTAAATCACTTGGCATCGCCGCCAAAACAAACTTCTCAACATCGCCGTTGAAGAACCAGATCACTTGACCTCGCCGTCAGAACAAACTTCTCAACATCGCCGTTGGAAAACCCAATCACTTGACCTCGCCGCCAAGCCTTCGCTAAATATAAGCGAGCAACAAGATTCGAACGAAATTAAGACCATCCATTGGTGATAATCACAAAATAACTCCGTTGGGGAAACACCATGAGCTGGGGTCTAGCCAACACACGGGCAAAGATACTAATCATCTGCGAGGTTCACTTGAAACAAAAGGGTAACGACCTGGCTTATGTTTCGCATGCATATGTTTGGATATGACGAAATGCTCCATACGAAATGGAAATGCTTCGCATTTGGGTAGATGTTATGCATGTATGTAGATGCAAATGAACCACTTTAGCAAGATAAATGCTAAATAGCCAACTTCGTTGGGTCAGAGCTAGGTACGCCTAGCGCAAACAAACTCATGCTGGGGAATACAAGCCTTGGATGGCCTCCGAGAAAAACTTCTGGGTAAAACCGCTCTGTTAAGAACAAAACCAAACCGCTGGGGATCCAAATCAAACTCTGCTGCGGAAGACGTCCCGGATGGCCTATCAGCCTACAACTCTTCTGGGGATCAAGCAACTTGGCTGGAGGCAACAACTCCACTCTACCGGGGAAATCGGCTATGAATGATTAGCCAGAATAACTCTACTGGGGAAACACAGCAGATTGCTGAGGAACAGCTTCATTCTGTCGGGGATTGAATCCGCTATCTGCTTGGGATTTTGAATAAGACTTACTGGAAGCTTATCCCAAACTATCTCTGCTGGGGGATGGAGATAAACAATCTCTGAGTCAGTTCCACTCTGTGGGGAAGGAAATTAACTCTGCTAATTTGGCTGGGGTTTAGATAAGGAGGGAATCAACATCAATCTCTGCTTGGGGAAAATGAGAAGTAAACTTTAACAATACTTCCGTTTGAGGAATGAGTCAATGACCTAGACTCTGAGGGGGAAGAAGTCAACCATTTAGACTTTGTAGGGATAACAGTAATGCACTCGCCCTACTGCTGGGGAAATAAACCCAAATCTGCTTCCATAACTCTGATATGCTCTGAAGATATGGAGAGGAACACATCTCCTTTGTTTATGATTTTGCCCCAGCCTGTGGAACTTTTGTAAAAACCTTCCTCGAAAGGATACCTGAAATTTCGGTACCCTGATGGTTAGATATGAACTGCCCCAGCGCTTCGAACCCCGAAGAAGCGCTTCAAGTTAATTTCCTTTCTGGGTAAGGATGGTTGTCGTGCTCCTGGGGTGGCCTGCCCCAGCTTTTAAGTGATTTGCCCCTGATTGGCTGAATTGGAGAAGTGCCTTTGACTTCGAGAGATTTACCTAATCTCGACCTGATTGCCCCAGATTAACGGACCTTAGGGAATGGCGCCTTTGACTGGCCTTCGAGTGGTTTGATGAGTCTCAACCTGATTGCCCCAGATTAACTGCATCTAGGAATGACCGGCTCTGCTTACGTTTACCTGACGTGACTTGCCCCTGCTCGAAGGAGTACTCGGACGCTTTATATCTTATTTCTATCAAACTTTGCATTGTAGAAACTTTCCTGATGTCAAATGCTTTCTCGGGAGTAAAACAATTCGTTTTGCAAAAGATAATATTAATGCAATGCATATGACAGTTTTGAAATCCAAGTCTGTTCACTAGAAAAAATTGTAACATTTAGTGAATGCATCACTTATCAGAATGTCGATATCAATACCCATAGGGTAAGAAGAATCCTTTTAGGAGTCAGTTTCGACGCGATCTTTACCGAAGTATGCTCTCGAAACAAACCTGCTTCAATTAGGACTTTTGAAGGTTGTAACTTGGTTAGGTTCACGGTTTGAAAGAAAGGATATGAGGCTCAAAGTTCTGTTTAACCCACCCACTCTCCTTAATATTCTTCAATCCTATGTTCAGCTAATTCAACACAAGAACTCACCTCTCAAAGGTTGACTGACAGGAGCGACGGTTCAAGAGACCATAGGTTTTCGGAGTGACAGCCACTCGCTTTTCGTCTCTGGTGCCTGGAGTCACGCGACTTGTTTTTCATCATTTCATTCCCTATTTTTCCTGGACTGACTCTTTTGAGTATATCATTAATTTCAAAGTCCAACGGGATGCCCTAATTTTTGCCTAAGCCATTTGTTTTCAAGTTATCGACTTAGCGGGCTTTTTTTTTTTATTCTTTTTTTGTGAACAAATCGTATGACACCGGCTTGTCTGACTTGTCGAAGGGGTTGTGACTGTTTCACTCCTTGGCTGGTGAAGGATAACCATTGTGGTTCTTTAGGTGCGACCTATATAGGTGTGATTGATCCTCGAACAGGAACACTCCTCTTGCAATTTGGATGCTCGGTCAAATTAACTGACACCTACCCTGCCCCAGGTTAAG